ATAATAATAAACTTTATTTTATATAGCGCCTTTAAAGGTGGCTTCTCAAAGTGCTTTGTAAATGCTGAAGAGCAAGGAGCCCAGTATTGAGCCCTGAGGAACACCAGACTTAACAAGACCAATTTCAGACCTATGCCCATTAAGAGAGACAAAGTGACAGCGATCAGTGAGGTAAGACTTGAACCATTTGAGAGCAGTGTCAGAAACTCCAGACACTGTCTCAAGATGAGAAAGTAAGATGTTATGGTCAACAGTGTCAATAGCAGCACTGAGATCAAGAAGGATGAGTATAGAAAGAGAACCAGAATCAGAAGCCATTAGAAGATCGTTAGTGACTTTGATTAGGGCAATTTCTCTGCTGTAAAGTTGACGGAAGCCAGATTGGAGGGGTTCGAAAAGGTTGTTTGTTATGAGGTGGTTACGGTATGTAACTGAAGTGTGATAGCACGTTCTAGACTTTTTGCAAGAAAGGGTAAGTTGGAGTTGGGGTAAAAATTGTTAAGGTTGTCGAGAGCCATGTTAGGCTTTTTTGGCACTAGGGTAATGGCAGCAGTTTTGAGGACCATTGGTACAATGCCAGTGCTCAAAGATTCATTTATAATATTGAGGACAATGGGACAGAGAGAAGAGAAACAGGACTGAAATAAAGTGGTGGGAATGGGATCTAAAATAGATGTGGTGGGTTTCATGTGTGTAACTAGTTTATTGAGGGATGCAGAGTCAAGAAGAGAGAAACTGGAGAGAAGGGAACCAGAGAAATTGGATGAGGAGGGAGGAGGTGTGGAAATGATATGTGTAGTGGAGAGAATGTGATGCCGGATGTTGTCAATCTTGGAGCTAAAGAAATCTAAGAATGTGTTGCAAGGTTGTGATGAGGCAGGTAATGTGGTGGGGCAGTTTGGCTTGAGCAGTCTGTTGATGGTGGAGAAAAGATGTCTTGGGTTGCTATGGTGATTTACAATGATGTGAGCAAAGTAGGTGGACCTAGCAGACTCTATAGTAACTTATATTCAGACAAGTAATCTCTACATTTAGGCCAGAAAGACGCCACCTACGCTCAAGTTTGCGAGAGGCTGCCTTCATAGATCGCAGATGGTCGTTGTAGCAGGGGGCAGGGTGAGGGAAGGAGATGGTTTGAGTTTTTAGAGGAGCAAAGGTGTCAAGGGTAGATAAAAGAGCACTGTCAAGTAACTGTATTTTGTCCTCTAGAGGGTCAGAGAAAGAGAAACAAGATAAGGAGGACAGAACACAATTTGCAAACTGAGTGACGCGGGAGTCCCGGGTTCGAGCCCCCGACGGTGGGGGGCCGACCTAATGCGGCAAGGGCGCCCGCCTGAGCCCCCGATGCGTTACAGTATACATACGCTGCTAAGGACTAATTTCAGCGGCTAAATTCCTTGCAGTTGGTCTTAAGGAAACGCACTAGTTTAGAAGCTGCGTGCTAACCACGGGATGAACGCCAGTTAAGATGCTGCTACGTTTCACTATTGGGAGACATTGAGTATTGGGAGACAGGAGGAGTGTGAATCGCCTCTCTTGAGCTCAGTGATACCGCAGCGAGGTAATTATGCAGGGTAATTAAACCTAATGCGGTCCGAGCATTAGGTTTAATTAGCATTAATTAGCATTAGGTTTAAGCAGTAATTTCAGAGTCGGGCGATTAACCACAGGCGCTGAGACACGACGACTAAGCGTTCGACAGCAGGGAAATACCCAAAGGAATGAGGTAAATGACGATTTAATTGGCAGCAAGAGGTTTTCACAATCTGCCTCTTTTGGTAGTTGAACGCTCCCGCCGCGGTGTCTGTCCCTGTAGTGACGCGGCCGGTGACCGCGGGGCTGGAGGCTGGGGGGCCGGAGTTCCGCGGCCATTGACACAACACGAGAAGGAGATAAACCTCTTCACTGCGTACAGAGTCACGGTTCCCGACAACCGGACTGTCTTTTTCTTACTGTAAGTAAGAAAGACCTTCGCAGCCCTGCACAATTTGTCTCTTTAGTCTAAAATGAAGGTACAAAATGACATGTACAAGGGGCACATACAGCACCCTCTCTACACGAATACATATTATCGCTGCCTTCATTCGGCGCACCTTTTCCAAGATCTGGTCAGAAATAATTACGGGGCTTTTAAGTCGGTATTGAAACAGGAAGAAAGACAGAGAAAATACGATTGTCTTGAATTATTTCAGTAAGAGACTGAGTCTAAATTCGGCTAATCCATCAAGCCTCAATGCAAGCATTCATACCTGTCTCTGTGCCTCTAATAAGGCAATGCTCCTGCGGAATTGCAGTGTAACTGTCGTTACTTCCCTTCGTTCTGCGCGGGTGAGAGTCTACTGGATAACAGTAGAGCCGGGAATTATAGAAGAGTTTTGAAAAATATATTTTCCTTAATGCATTTGTAACTGTTGAGTGACTAAATGCACCACTAAATCTGAGTCGTTTAACTTTATTCAGAGAATTTAGGGGAAATTTGCTTCGGTGACACAACGGACGCCTCTCATGCCTGACAGAAAAGAATCAGGAACAAGTCATAGGTTTATTCCATGCTAAAAAAAGAGAAGAAAGAAAACACAACGTTTCGGCTGTAGAGCCTTCTTCGGGTGTCATAATCAGTTTTTGTTCCTGTCTTTTTAAAGCAAACATTAGAGACTAGTACATAAAGAGTCGCCTTATCCTGGTTCTGGAGTGCCGTTGTCGCTGTGTGATTTCCAGGTCTTGAAAAAGCACAAGAGCTTTGGGAACCTGGTAAAATTAAACCAATAAAGAGGTTATTCAGCTCGCTATGAGCCTGAATGCAGACACACTAGCCCTCCAGGACCAGGACTGCGGTCCCCAGTTGTACACTTTAAAACAATATATACACTACATTTTCTGTGGGACATGTTTCTCCATAAGCGATCAGCTACCTCAATATTATAATATTTTATTTGCTTAATTTCCCATATTTAGGTTTGAGGAAAAATCAATTCTCCCTGAAAGCCCGTTGGAGAGAATTACCAGGTGTGGTCTTTCCAATCCGAATTTCCTACATGTTGATTCTGATCTCATGACCTCCCCTTCGCTCCAGTCGTAATCTCTTCTGTATTGTTGCCATCATTTCTCAAGAGCTCGAGGAGATCCTGCCAAACAAAAGAAAAAAACAATTTGTCAATTACTTGCCGTTTCATTTGAATGTAAACGTACCTCTTTGGTTTTTCGTCAGCCGATTTGCTCATCGGAATCCTACATTTGCTCTTCAAGCCCACCAATTCAGAGAATAAAAAGGAAAATTCATCAATGATTTGTGTGTAGAAAAAAAAAATCCGTTTTATGTAATCCTTTCATAGTCACGGTGTATTGATCAGCGTATAAGTATTGTTTAGACCTACGATACTTAACCAATGGTTCCTGTGCATAATTGCATTAAACATTGTCCAAGAGATTAATTAGAAAAACCTAAAGGAACGACCTGCGACCTGGGTTTGTAATTTCCAGCTTCGAACTGTTCACAACTCGTTGATAAGAAGAAATTTAATTTCAAGAGGCAATGAATGATTAGGAAACCCCAGTTTTGCAGCTCATAAGGAGAACAGACGCTCTCTTTACTCAAGAATGGTTTTCCTGCGCTTGGCACCTAATAATCCGAAATACTGTAGCTCGCTTGGGTGGTGGAAATTCACTGAACAGTAGATCTCAACGAGTCTCGTGGACCACGGAAGATTTAAAGCTAAAAGGAAATAAGTATAAGTGTCTAGAATTTTGCGTAAATTTAGAATCAGAAATCAAACAAAAAAAAAGTTTAATATACAGTAGCAAGTGATTAACGCTGTATAATCAAGACAACTCACTGGAGCTCGGGGGCAAACAGTTCTAGATGCTCGGTTTAAAAATAAATCAAGCCCTGTAGTTTTCACACTACAGATAAAAGGCGGGGTGTATTCATTCTGTTAGTACTGCAATCACCACTGATATGAAACATTTTCTCTTGATGCAGTTCCTACCTTTTTCTCAGTGGAGGACAGACTCTCCCCCACACCGTCTTCAGCACAGCCTCCCTGAGAGCGGGGCTCCCCCAGATGTACAGTCCGGGGGTACAGGTTGAAGTGAATCTTAAAATCACACTAAAGGGGTCGCTGGCGTTGTTTGTGAACACAGATGTTGACCCAGTCATTCGAACCACGATAACGTAGTAAAAGGCAGGACTCCAGAGCCCCAGGAAGCAGACTACCACCACGATGATGAGTCTCAGGGACTCTTTCTTGCTGTCTCTCTCTGGACCCGGCGGCTCCCGAGCAATCTGGTATTTAGCGATGAGGTACAGTTTCACGGTCATCAGCACTTTCGCGATTATTATTGCCTGGAACAACAGAGTGCCGTAAGCGCTCAATTTTGCTGCAGTGTCAACGGTGAGGAGGTTCTGAACCGTTAATATTAAGTAAGTGTAAAACCAGCAGAAAACGCAAACTCCTATAACTACAGTTCTAGTTACAAAACGATTGTAAATATAAGGATAAGCTACCGCAAAGAATCGGTCCACCTGTGAAAACAAGATGGTCCAAATGTTGACACCCAGTAGCGAAGGCACTATGTAATAGGTACCGTTCTTTGACGGATAGCCTTCACGCACATCAAACAGACCGATGTAGTAACCACCTACCCCTGACAGTGTGTCACTTATACTGGTGTTCAGCATGAAAATAAACCTGTTTTGATTTCGAAGTGGCTTTGTACAAATAATGCCCAAAAGAACCGAGCCAGCCATGAGAACAGAACTAGTGGCAGTTAGTAGATTGATTATAAAAATGAAATAATCTGCAGCTTCATTAAAGTCCACCGCTAACGGCACAGTGAGGTTCAGAGAGATCATCGCTTGGTGAAATGATTATCTGGCGATGCTGCTGTTGAGTTTTAATAGACGAACAAAACAAAGGAGATGTCACGTGTTACCTCAGCCAACGCATGTCTGGGGCTTCGGGACTCCTGGGAATAATTAACTTGAGATCCCGATCTGTCTCGCAGCCGATGTGCTTGCGTGTGCAGAAGGTGCCTCCTTTTCCTTTTCCATGGTTTCAACCTGAACAGATCCGGCGGTTCACAAGGAATGACGCCATGTAAGAACCAGATGCTTTGCGAATGCTTAATGGGAATTTAAGTACATTGAGTTTTGGTTTAGGCCGATTGGTAAATAGGCAGCTTGCTGAACCTCCCATTAAGACAGAGGAGTTAACCAAGGGGTAAACTACACGGGCGGAGATGGGGTGAATGTGGGATAAAGCGAAAGGAGATGTGTTTGAGCGCTGAGTTACATATAAGACTTATACGTTTAAGCGACGTCAGCAGCTATATCACCTTGCAGCTCTCAAGACAGAGTGATACTAAGCAGCGTTTAGCCTGGTCAGTACCTGGATGAGAGACTCCTGGGAAGCTATGGTTGCTGCTGGAAGAGGTGTTAGTGGGACCAGCGGAGGGCGCCGTGTATCTATCAATATCTATAATATTGTAGTGGGCGCCGTGTTTCGGATGAGACGTTAAACCGAGGTCCTGATTCTCAGTGGTCATTAAAGATCTCGATAAGAGTAGGGAGTTATCCCAGTGTCCACGCCAAATTCTCCCTCTCGGCCTTTACTGTGCCCTCCAAATTGTCCCCATGTGTGATTGGCTTGCACTTGCACTGCGATGGACTGGCGCCCCGTCCAGGGGGTACCCTGCCTTGCGCTCGTTGCTTGCCGGGTAGGCTCCGGCTTCCCGAGACACCGTATGGTGTAAAACGTTTTGGTATATGACAAGACAGGAAGAACTAAGGTTGCTGCTGGAAGAGGTGTTATTGGGGCCAGCAGGGGGTGCTCACCCTGCGGTTTGTGTGTCATTATGCCTCAGTATAGTGACGGGGACACTATACTGTAAAACAGGCGCCGTCCTTCGGATGAGACATAAAACCAAGGTCCTGACTCTCTGTGGTCATTAAGAATCCCAGGGCGTTTCTCGAAAAGAGTAGGGGTGTGACCCCGGCATCCTGGCCAAATTTCCCATTGGCCCTTACCAGTCACGGCCTCCTAATAATCATCATCTATGAATTGGCTTCATTACTCTGCTCTCCTCGCCACTGAGAGCTGGTGTGTGGCGCTCTGTGGCTGCCGTCGCATCATCCAGGTGGGGCTGCACTGATGCTGGTGGAGGGGATCCCCATTACTTGTAAAGCGCTTTAAGTGGAGTGTCCAGAAAAGCGCTATATAAGTGTAACCAATTATTATTATAGTTTGCATTTTGTCAAACTGCATCGAACAGTGTCCTTACCTGAGGTGGTAGTTTATAACAATGTCAGAATGAGCGAATGAACATGTGCTGAAGTTAGAAAGCTGAAATCAGTGTCCCTCTGTACAGAAGACTCTTTCAACACACAGTGTATTTCTATAGTGTGTAATTGGTGACGAAGCGAGGACAGCGGAGGCTGCTCAGACATACAAATGAAAGGATCACGCTGATAAAATAATAAATACAAGACGAACTCATCTCTGAACACACCGAATGGCTTCCTCTCGAATGTAAAACTTTCTCTGAATCCACAAAAAAGGTTAAATACTCTAGAGTGTTTTCTTACGTGTTATATTTTATTTAATCGCGATTCCAATGATATAATAATGTATTTCAGGTGAGAATCCTGTGGAATGACCGTTTATAGACAGAAGATGGCGCCATAATCCTTCATTCCGAGTGAAGAGGTTTTTCTCTCAAGGATTCGGACAGCTGGACCCGAGCTGCTCAAATACACGAGGGACTGGAAATTATTTACCAGCAGCCTCAACTCTCGATTCCTCTTTTCTGGACAAGCCCAGGGGACAGTAGGTTTGAAGTCATATTGTGGAACAGCCTCAGGCAGAGGATTAGTTACTGGGAAAGAGGCTTTATTTTAAAAAACAGAACAAGTCTTTAGATTGGCACAATTGTCCAGATTTTATTGAATATATTTGCTTGCTTTATTACTGTAATTCCGTTTTGTGCCACATGGTTTAGAGCTGTGACTCTTACAAGGAATAAATATCTTTCTGTTAACAGACTTAAAAAGAAGTTTTTTATTAGTGGTGCTGTTCACATACATTATGGTGCTGCTATGTGCTGTGAAGGGAGAAATGGCAAATGATTTATCAACTGCATTCTCATGTAGCACCATACAAAACAGAGCATTCTCCAGGTACTTTACAGGCATTATACAATATCAAACAGGACAGTATGCAGAGTAAACAAGAAAAATGGATATATTTTACGTGAACAATTAAAGGAAGAAACAGATTGATAATTTCATCTGAGAAACGGGTCACTTCAAAAACAGTAAAACAATCTAAAATGTTTCTCTGGAAATGTTTCAGTTTTACTCAGTTTAAGAGAGGCTGTATGCTTAGTGTTGGAGAAGATGACGTAAAAACCGTGTACCAGGTGTGTCAGACTCGAATCCCAGAGGGCCTGAGAGCCTGCTGCTTTTTGCTCCAACCTGAGTAATCAATTAACAGATTATCCTCATTATCTTCCTCATTAGACATGTGGGATGTTCCAGAGGTCTTTAGCAGTTCGTTATTCAAAACATTCACTTAATTAAAGGTGCATCTTGTTATGAAGCACTATGGAGCCGGTTTCGACAACGGTTAAGCAGTTAATTAAATAATCGGACCAACTATGTAACAGAGACTAGAAGGCCAAATTCGTTGCAATTGATCCTAAAGTAACGTTTTACTTTAGCACGGAGCCAAAGAGTTTTCTTTCTGCTATTAGAAACAAATTAATCAAGCGAATAATATCTTAAATCGTGTATGTAACCAGGGATCTTCCAATACTGAACTGTATTGGAAGAGGTTATCGGGCTCCAGAGAAAATAAACACCGTGGATTTTTTTTTT